ACGTGGCTGCCATGAGGCCGGGACGCCTTCATGTAGCTTGTGTCTTGCCTCGTGTCCTTTTCCTTGGGGCACCCACACCAACTTTTTGTTTTCTGTCCCAGAAACATTTCTGTCTCTCAGCACCACCTCGGAGTCTCTTAGACAGACTGTGGGGTTTTGAAGGTGCATGGAGAAGCCGCCCTTATATGGAAGCCACTCCATCTCCCTGCTCCCTTCATCTGGCCTCTTGCCTTCTCTGACCTTCCTCGTCCCTCTGTCTGTCTTAGTTTCCCACCTCCTGCTTAAGGTGGGAACTTGAAGGGGCCATCCTGTGCCCTGGTTGGGTTTTCCCCCCATGGAGACCCCTGTGGCTCCTTGGGTGCTGGTCTGAGGCAGAGCTGGTCACTGGTTGACCCTTCTTTGCCCCTAAGGCCCCCCTCCCCACTTCCTGTTACCTTGACCAAATGTAGCCAGCCTTTTCCTGTCCACTTGGAAGGCAGAGTTCACAAAGCAGTGAGGGTTCAGGTGTCACTCACAAGGGCTTGTCTTATCTGTCTTCTTCCAATTCAGGATTCAAAGGATAAGTGGGGGTTTGGAAAGCTCTCAGTGCCAGGCAGAGATCCAAGAGTGTGGCCCCGCTCCTGTCACCCCAGGGGCTTGCTCTGGGACCCTGTCCTCTTCCATCTCCCAGTGGCATGTGAAAGCCCCCTTCCTGGCAAGGCAGTGTTGAAAGTGCCCTCAGAGCAGGCATTGTGAGCATGGCCGGTGTCCAGCTGGGATGAGGACCCGGAGGTGTGGGCTTCCCTGACCAGCCTCAACCACCCCCATCCTCTCTGCTCCTCCTCCCTCTGTGCCCCTTGGTCCCGATGAAAATCAAAGCCATTTAAAGTGGGTAGCACAGTGCCTGGTACAGTGCAGACCCTCAATAAACATTTGCTAAACAGATGAAAGAATGAAGCCCAATGCAAGTGCTGTCTTTTGTGCTTTGAGATCTAGGGAGGTGGCTCAGGACAAACCCTACAGGACAGATGCGTGGCTCAGATTTACTGGTTGTCGAGCCCAGATTTTGTCATTCTCTGTGCTGGCTCCCATGGGACGGCTGGGGCTGTCACAGGGCAGGGGGGAGGGATTGCTCAGCTGGCCTCTTCCTACTCGCCCTTCTCTGAACTCACCATCCCACAGGTCATCCTCAGCATTTCTCCCCTGTCAGCATCAGGGGCTCTTGTCCCCTGGCTCTGGGTTGTGCCAGAACCCTGTGCTCATTTCATTTCTCAGACATGGGGTGGGAAGGCACGTTCTTTGCATCTCGTCTGTTCTGCACCCACTGGAAAGTGAGCCTCCTTCACTCAGTAGTTGCTGCAGAATTCCATCTTCTGATTCGCTTCCCATGGTTCCCTGCTCTCCCCTGAGCCGATCACTGGGGCCAGGGAGACACGGCTGTCATCGGCCAGGCTTGTCCTGGAAGCCTGGGCATGGGGTCCGCCCAGCTAGTGAGCTGGCGCTGAGAGGGACAGAGGGAGGTTCTCCAGGGAAAGTCAGGTGCTGTTTCCAGAGGTACAGGTGCCAGGCAGCCTAAAACAACAGACATCCTTGTGACATGGCCTTCACCAACTTCGGTAACTCACTTCATTGCCTGACATCAGCTTGGGGTCACATGGCCCTGGATTTCAACCCTCAGCAGGTTGCATCTGAGCGCTGTCATCTTGGACAAGCCACTTAGACGCTGTGAACCACAGTCCCTCTCCTGTGAAATGGTGGGGGTGGCAGGCAGCGCCCCCTGCGGAGCTCCGCGCCCAGGACTGCCGTGTGGCAGGCTCTCATGACTCTGCTATCATTGGCCCCCAACGTGCAGCCAGGCTAATTTTCGAGTCCTTGTGGGGAAATGCATGCTGGGCGTGACCCGAGAGGATGTCGTGCCATTTCCGTTCATCCTTGCAGCCACTCTGCTATCGGACACTGACCGTCTCCATGGCCAGACAGTAGAACTGACGTTCTGAAGAATGCATTCCAGCCAGGAGGTGGCGGCATCTGTCTGACCTGGGTCCTGCTCTCTGTCCACCATTGGGAGCCTCTGTTCCCAGAACCCTCCTGGCGACAGACTTGGGGTTTATGTACAGTCGTCTCACACAGAAGCGCATGCATCCATTCTGTGGTCGGCACTGTTTATCAGGAGTGTGCAACCAGTGCACTTGTGCTCTGAAATCCCTGCACTCGAGCCCACTCAGTGCCCCCAATCTGCCAGGTGCCTGAAATTGCCTCTCCCTCGCATCTCCCAGGGTTCCTGCTCACACTTCCTCCCTCTCCCTTTGCTCCCCTTTCTGCCCTCGGAGCAGGGTGCCGTGTGCCGTGTGCGCAGGGCACTGTGGTACACGGGATCATGTTCCCCGCGGCTGGCAGTGGCTGGGTCCTGTCGGGGCTGCTCTTGTCCTACAGACAGTGGTGGCTAGAGTCTGGCAGTCATTTCTCATTCAGTGACAACACTTCTGCTGGTCCTGCCTTGGAGACAAATGTCCAGGGAGGCTCTCTCCTTCCCAGGACTGTTCCTGGTAGAGGCCCCAGGCACGGGCCATACATCACACTTCTGCTCCCTGTCCCAGTCCCACATGTGTTCTAGACCCACCTCTGTCCTCACCTGTCAGACACGCCCCTCTCTGCCCACCTTTCCCACTCAGTGGGTGCCTCAGTCCAGGTTCTGATGTCCTTTAGCCACAAGATACTCTGGGACCTGAGATCTTTCTGGGCGAGTTCAGCCGCCCGGTGTGTCATGGATCTGAAGCTCGGTAACTCGTAGGAATGATCAGCCCATTTGCTGGGGGCATTCTTTGTTTTTTCGGGTGAAGGTGGAGGATGCAGCTGCTGGTTACTGCCCGGAAGGTCCAGGACCTTTGGCTTGGGGGACACTGATACCAGGCCATCCACCTGCTCTGTGATCCCAGCTTTGGGTCTAGCCTGGGGGACAGAATGCTTGTCTGCTCAGAGCCCACATTTTCTCTGAGGTCCCCATCTGCCTGAACTCCATTTGTCTTCCAGGCTCTGTGGTCAGATCTGCCCCCACAAGTGGTGTGGGGTCCACAGCATCTCTGAGCCCCGCAGCAACACTCAGTTCTGCTCTGGCTGTTTCACAGCCATATGGCCCTCACATCTGGCTTTATAGGGGACAGTTTGTAGCGACATAGCTTGGGAAACACCAAGTTAAAAGGTTTCTTCCCTGCAGTACTTCTTAATGCCTTTGACATGTTGTGTGCTGTAGTCCCACGCCTGTCAGCTTCTTCAGTAGATCACTAGTTAGTGCCTCACAAAAGTTCCTGAGATGCCAAAGAAACCCTTTCCTACTGGGCCCCGTCCTGTTCACATGTGTGACAGGGATCTGGAGGAAACCCCGTGTGACTGCAGGGCTAGCTCTTCTGAAACCTGGACAGACACTTGCTGTGTGCTGGCCAGAGTGGGGGCGCTGGGGCCAGGATGTCCTTGTAGGCGACACGAGGTTGGGACACATGCAATGTGTTCCCAGGAGATGTGATGGGGGATCGGGAAGGGGCTGCAGACGAGGGGGTGTAGGGACGTTTGTAGCACGTCAAGGTTGGAGCCGTCAGCAGGGGTGGGCGCTGTGACTGGCGTGGGTGGAGCTTACAAGCCTGTGTCTAATTCTGCTCCTGTTCAGGCTTATCTCCCTAAACGAGGTTCCCACACAACAGAGGCCCCAGGCCTTTGCCTGTCCTGTTTCAGCGCTGCCCCAGCGCCCCGAGGCAGAGGCCAGGCCAGAGAGTGGACGTGTTCTGGCCGGTTGACACCAACGGCCCACAAGTAGTCAAGCCTGGGAGTCACGTTATTTTTGTTTGGTGTCATTTTTTCAGTGCATCTGTGTTCTTGGCTTTGTGTTAGGTACCACGAGTTCAGGGAAGCTGTGAGGAAGTGGGATGCAAGGTCCTGGGTGAGACCTTGGATTCACAGGTGGCTGGGGCCAAGGAGCAGGGCTGGGTTACTGCTGGCAGCTGGGCACTGTCAGCCACGAGGCTGAAGTCATGGGGATGCCGATGGTGGCTGCAGGCCCCTGGTAGGGGGAGGACTGGGGGGAGGAAGAGCATGTTTGGAGACCCAGACTGGCCAGGCCACCCATGTGGGCACATTGGCTGTAGCAAAGATGGGGGAGAAAGTGCCAACTAAGAGGGCAGCTTGGGAAACCTGAGTAGGGAGGGAGGGTAGTGGGAAGGGCACCGTAAAAGGCAACAGGTCAGCAAGGGGTCCTGCTGGCAGCCTGGCCAGACCTCACTGGCTGAGGTGTCACGAGGCAGGACAGTACAAGATCCAGATGCTGGAAGAGATGCTGGGAGCCTGGCTGAGCTGCCTGGAGGAGGGGTGCCAGGGCGTCAGGGCGATGGGACTGTGTGTTACAGGGTGGCAGGCTGGCAGGTGCTGTGGCGTGGGAGCCTGGCTGGGGGGCAGTCAGACAGCTGAGAGGGGTGATGGACAGTGATGGGTGTGCAGACACGGCTGGGACTCCTGCCCTTGGGACAATGTGGGCAGTTCCCTGTCCCCAACAGGTAGGGAAGGAGGAGCAGACACCTGGACGGTGGTACCCCAGCCACTCCTGCTGTGCCCTGGACCATTCCCTAGGCTCCTCTAGGCCTCCTGCCTCCAACACGATCTGGGTGCCTTAGGCATGTGCTGGCCCTCTCCCTCCACTCCAGCTTGGTGGCACATGGCCCTTCAGTCCCTCACTCGTAGCACCTCCTGGCACCAGCCCGTCTCTGGCCGGTGCCCACCTCCCTGAACCCAGTACCTCTCCAAGGGAGTCTCCCCAGGTACTCTGGAGCCCCCCACCCTCACCCCAGGCCTCCGACTCACCCGTCAGGCAGGAGGGCTCCAGCGCTGCCTGCACAGACCATCTTTGCAGCTTGGCTGTGATCCCGTCAAGTCATCATTACCCTTCTGTCCCAGGCTAGGGCTGCTGTGTGAGGGCCCTGGTGGGGGTGCCAGTGTTGGGCCCAATCCCACAGGCCACCTAGCATCTTCCCAGCACTGCCCCCTCCCTAGTGTCACTACCCCCGGCACCCACCACCCCCTTGCAGTGCCCCCTTGGACATTCTTCTTGCCTCTGCCACTCCACGGTGCCATGGAGATCAGGTTTGGTCAGGCAGGGGCTTCTTCTGGTTGGTGTCTGTTCCTGGGCCCACCCCAGGTGTCCTTGGAGCTCCTCTCTGCTGGGGTGGAGGGCATGTTCTGGCCTCTTCAAGAGGCTCTGCTCTGGGTCGAATGAGTTGGAAGGAGACGGTAGGGAAAGAGGCTGAGGAGAGAGGGCCAGTGGAAGGAGGGACAGAACTGGGTCTCCAGGGAGAGGCTGCCCTGCTCAGGTGGGAGATGAAAAGACAAAACCTGCTTTAAGGGGAGGTCGGATGCTGAGAACACCCCATGCTGTGGGATGGGTGCCAGTTCAGGACGGCACGAGATGGGTGGGGGTGCCCTGAGGGGATTCCTTAGCCAGGCAGAGGCAGGTGGGATGGGAGCAGAGTGGAGTGTGAGGGGACACGAGACATCAGGTACCAGAAGCCTGCTGGGCACTTGCTGCACTCAGGGTTGGAGCCTGGCTGGGGGTGGTCACCCACCTGTGGGTGGGACTCTGTGGTCTGTACCTCACAAACCAGAGAACAGGTCTCAGGCAAACCAGGAGCCAGCCAGATCTGCCCCAGTCTGGCCTCCTCCCATACCCCCAGCAGCTTCAGATTTGCCCCCTCCCCCCATCACACCTGGGCCCACTGCACTGGAGTTCCTCCCTCACTGGTTGTCCGGCCAGGGGTCCCTGCCCCTGGCTGCCCTGACTGTGGTCGTGACTGTGGGCCGCGTGCCTGCTGTGTGGGCCGGGCTGCTAACACTCTCTCTCATTGCTCTCTCCTGCCCATCTGCATGTGGCTGCTCTGTCTAGCTGCGCGGTGGTCCTGAGCGCCGGCTGTGTAAGTGAGCATGCTCATCCCATGCCTCTGTCCATGCGCTGCACCTGGCCGCTGGGTCACCGCTCTGCTCGGCTTCGCGGGGCTGCGGGGCCCCTGGCAGCCTCCTGAGGCTTCTGGCCACACTAGGGGATGGAAGGGGGGTGTCATGGGAGGGGTTTTTTCTGGAGGAGTCCCCCAGCAGGCCTCCCGGCATGGCCACGCTGGCCAGGGACTGGAGGGTCCCACCAGATGATGTTGGGAAGTGAGGTACCATCTGTCAATTGTGTGTGTGGGTGTGTATGTGTGCGTGTGCATGCCCGCACACATGTGCTGCGTCCCTGTCATGAGCAGGTCCCTGCCACTGCTGCTGCATGTCTGTGACACGTGTGGATGCTGTTGCTGCTGCCGTGCGCAGGCCTGTGCAGGGAGACGGTGTCCGTGTCGCTGCCTCAGGCCCGCCCTGCACATGCTGCTTGTCCGTGTGGTCTGTCTGGTGTCATGGGCTTGTTCAGGCTCGTGCTGCAGCCACAGCCAGCCTTTCTCACGACACAGCTCCCTGCAGCCAGCCCTAGTGGCTTGGGGTCTCCTGAGCACAGAGCTGCATGGGGACTGGTGAGGGTTCTGCCAGAGCCTCCCCTGCAGGGCCGGGTGGATGGGCAGCAGCCCTTTGCAGGGGAGGCTGCCTTTCCTCTGGTGGCTGGTGGTCTTGGAGCCCCCGTGGAGTGAAGGGGCTGCTGGTTTTCTTCCTCCTCATTCCACTCAGTCTAGGGTCTCCCCGCCACACACACACACCAGCATGGCACTGGTTCTCACCTGGGAGCCACAAAAATGGCGGGGAGTAACCATGGCTATCCCACCTCTTGCTTCCTCTGGCCCTAAGGCTACCCCACCAGTCCCAGCCCCCTCTGAGCGTCCTCCTGGCCAGTGACCCCGCTCCCCTGAGCCCTCCCTACCCCGCCTGGCGCCCCTCACCTGGCCTTGACCCCTCTCCCTCCGCAGGCTCTTCAGCAGCCTCGGTGAGCTGAGCTCCATCTCAGCGCAGCGCAGCCCTGGGGGCCCGGGCGGC